TTAATAAATGTATTTGTCTCACTATACCTACTTGTCTCGAGATTATACGAATTAAATATACAATATTCACAATTCCTATTATGGTAGATACTTATGATAATGGTTATTCAAAATATCTTAAAAATAATTGTACTTTCTTTCTTTAAACCAATACAAATTAAAGAAATAAATATATTATACCCAATAACACCAACACCTCATTAGAATCAATTCCCCTGATCATTAACCAATCCAAATAGACAACACTACGCTACCTACATAATACAAAGTTCCACTAGCTAGCCCCCCGGCGCCGCCCGCGCTAACAAGCACGCTCGCTGGAGTACCTCCGATACTCGTGTTGTTCCATTCCTTCTAATTACAAATTGTTTTTATTGCTTCCTTTATTTTATGTTAGAGGGCGTTTGTTATGAAACAAAAATACATCGTGTTTTGTTTCTATTTAGGTATATGTTTTAAACATGGCTGATGTTTATGTTATTGGTGTGGATACCTTTTTTGTGTTTATCTTTTTGGGATTTGTTGTTATTTTTTTTTTATTAGGGTGTACATACATGCCCTAGACTATGACCATATTATATTTATTCAACTTTCTATTGTAGCTTTGTTTAGAAGACATTAAACTGTTATTATTACTGTGTCTCTCAGAATTGAATTTGTAAAGTTTATTGATAATAATGAGAATATATCAAATCATAGGTCACAATACCAAATTACTGAACCGATGTTAAAGTTAACATACTCGAATGTATGTGTAATCAATATTTAAATAAAGACAAACAATTACATTGCACTTCAAATTAATAAAACGATCTGTAAGCAAATCGCAAAACATTTACTCTGTTCCGAACCTCATCAATATAATGTTCATTACCGGAGTGCACTCCGGGTGTGATTGCGATACATCTTCCTGAGTAATGAGTATCAAGATAACATTACCTCGTTTGTATGCCCTCCGCACTCCACAGCATTGGCCCTCGGCCCTCAGCCCTCCACAATTATACAGAACACGTACCTCCGACTAATTTGACTAATTACTCTAGATAACAACTTCACCGCACCCTGTATCACCCCTATTTTAACTCACAATCAAATCTCGACCCTATTTTAGCTACATTAAGCTTCAAAACCGCATCAAAAAATCTTTTACCGAATTCCAAATACCGTTGACTGCAAAATAAACTTTAATTTCGGAAGATTAAAATTGGTAATCAAATGGAATACATTTGGCAAAGCGTTTGTTTAAAGGGAATTTACTATGCCGTTCAAAATTGAAATGTGCTTTCAAAGGGTAAGGTTTATTTTAGTCTGGATTTAATCCAGTATCGATGGGTGTTTAATTGGTTGATTTGAATTTCGAATAACGTTTGTAGTTATACTATGAGCTTTCGAATAAGTTTGTAAGTGACAAATTGAAGTGAAGTTTTGTGGTTTAAAGTAATTTAATAAGAAACATCAAACTTAACTTTAACACTATGAAGTTGGTTTTAGTAGACGAGAAACCGTGGTAATGTAATTTTATTAATGATCTAATGAAAAATATTTTAATGTTCTTGAATTCTGTTTTTTGTAAGTCATTTCGAGGGGTAACGGGCTATTTGGTTTAAGCGACATTTTGGGCGATATTGAGTTATTATATAATAATATGTTTATAATTTTTTGTGTGTTATGTGTTTTTTTATGAAATTGGCGGCAAACGAGCTGAGGTATCACCTGATGGTAAGCGATCAGCACCGCCCTCAACACCAGAGGAGTCATGTATATATGTATGTCATGTTATTGTATGTTGTTACGTGTCTCTTGCTGTGAACTCTTTATTTGGTTTTGTATTGGATGCACATACATTGGTCATTATTCAATTAAATAGGGTAAACAAAGAGGATTATATTGTGAAAATAAAAACAAATATTATTTTTGTCGTAACAATTTTATTCGATCACTGATTTTGATTTTGACCACTTTACATACAACTAGAATAGAATAATGTACGGTTACAAGTTATTTTGTTTAATTATCTATTAATCTTGATAATTTCGTTACCACTCACTAGTTATATACGATATACACTGAACTTATATACTGACAAACATGATACACTGACAAAACGAACTCAGCACATACAGGCTGTTGTTATTTCCCACGCTTTAGTATAAAAACTGAGTTGTTCTTTAAATAGCAGTTTAAAAGACTTTGTCTTCAAATTTTAAAGGTTTTAAAAATTGCACCATATTTGTCAATATATATATTATCTAAACGAGCAACCGGATATATTACATAGCTATTCAATAAGCCATAACATATTAATTTTTAAACAACAAAATTATATCACGAATTTTAAAATAACAATTAGTTTTTAAACTACGTATTTTACATTTTCAAAGTGTTCAACTATATTTTCTAATGTCTAAAGTCTAAGACTAGAATGTTTGCATGAGTATGTATAATGGCGATACAGCTACTTTAACATTTAAGTGATAATTTAAGATGGTTATAATAATAATCTAGATTTATAATTATGCTAAGATTCGATCAATAAATGAATATTATATCAAGAATTACATAAGTATATATAATATATAAATATATTAAAAAGGTAAATGAAATACGTTTTAATCAATATTATTATTTTATAGAAATAAAAATATTTTATATAAAATACATATATGAATATATAATAATAATAATAATACCTACAATATTAATTTTATTTCGTAACCTAACAAACAATTATTATATTTTAATACTCGATATCGATAATTAGATTAAGATTAATTAAATTGTAATTAAATACACATTTAAGTATACGCTACAAATGCTAATTTTTAATTATACTTTAAAAACCAAATCCTATTTAATAATAAAATTTAAATTTTGTAATTTTTGATTTACGTACGATATTCCAAAATATCGAATTTGAACAAGCTATAAGCAATAATTTCTAGTATTCAACAATATCTAAACTAAACTAAAGTGACGAAGAAATTATAAATTTGAGGTATTCAAGTATAATATCATTGTGATAAACTTATCCTAAAAAGCGTCTATAAGTACTTATTCAATAATTATAATAATTCTTATAATTACTCTATACTTATTATTATAAGCTGTCTGATAAAACAGCTGATATATATATATAATGAGATTATAATTTAATATGACTAGATATTGGAATGACTTAATTAATATAGAATGCTGCGCTTTCGATTTGAAGTGAAGATAGATAGAGTACATCTATTGACAATTTATAAGTAACATTTATCTTTTTGGTACAACTTATAAGAAATGCTGTGAAACATTATTAAAGTTAAGAAATAATCAAGATAACATAGAGTTGGAAAATATATATTTTTTAATACTAATGATATGGCATTAAAAATAAACAAGTACGAATTGAGATGTATACAATGTGTGTAATTAAGAATTATGAGAAGGTATGTATATGATTTATATAATACCTTACATACTTTATATTATTCTATAGATTACTGTACTTATCACTCGTACTTGTGTGGGTGTTCAACTGATATATTTACAATTTAAACGTTAATTAGCATTGTTATATTAAATAATTCTAAAAACATCGACTACTCTATGATGCTCAAAAAATTTGACGCAAAAAATATCTACTAGGAATTTTAAAATTATGAAAAATAGCAGCATCTACTTGAAAGACAAGATTAACTAAAAATATATAGGTTTAACTGTTATATATGAAAATATATGAAGATTATAAGATATATATAGAAATATATGAAGATTATAAGTTATAGTGATAGTGAGTGAAGATCTATTTAGACGATGAAACGAGCTCCTAATAGTACTTTATAGATAGAGTAGAACTAACGGACGGGTACTGACCTAAACTGAAAGAAACTGCAAACATTACTTATATATTTCATTATATATATTTAATTCATAAGTATTTAGATATATATACGATATATATGCAGTAATATTTTCGTTGAAATTATTTTTAAATATACCTCTATATCCATTTGTTTAAATGTTTACATGATTTCATATTCAGGTAATTCAGATCAACAGATATTCTAATATACGATCAATATTGTAGTAAATATATTATAAGTGTCGGTCGCAAGGTTTTTTATATAATTATATATTATAAAACAATATATATAACTGTAATATAATTTATAACCGAAATATAATGTTTGCAGTTACATTTCGTATGAAACATCGAGATAAGAATAAGATTCACAACGTCTACGTCTACAGTTATTAAACGAACAAACAGATAGTATTCACAAGCTGAAGCTAAAATATTTATATACTAACATTGTGCGTAGTGTTAGCAACGATGTAATGTTAGTTAATCCAATGAGGAATATCGAAATCTTTGTTCCTTCTTTCTATATAAATTAGTTTGATTTATGTTGCTTGCATATATTGTAAGTAAATACGAATATAAAATTATTTGAAAACTCAATTTTATAATAATTAAGTATATTTATAATATCATAAAATTTTATAAAAATGTAAAGAATTTTAGGTAATTTTATGAGTATAAAATTGATTATATATTATATATTTCAAGATAAGATATTCCCCAATGGATATGAAATTCCCCTTAATATCAAAGAGATAAAAGATGGCACAAGATATAACTTGGAACTAAAGTGAACTACTTTACCTAATACTATAGGATACCTAGATTTATATATTTTTTAAAACTACAGTTGAAAGCGTTTGAAGATATCAAGCTAAATTATATCGAGTGTCATGATATAGAAGAGTAGTAGCTATTGTACAATCGATATTTAAATAATATTTAAATAGTCATATAAAAATGAAATAAAACTGGGAAACTGGAAACCTAATTTAAATTAACACAGAAAATACACAAAAAATAGAACATTTTTGGAAATAATTTCAAGACATATGACATTAATTTTAAAGAACTACAATAAATATGTATAATATTTTAAATACTATCAGAATGGAATATAAAAAACAAAATTCTAAAATATGTGCTCGTATAAATCACGAAAGATAATATTATAATTGGTGTATACAATACTAATATAATTAATATGACAATCTTATTATCAAAAAATAGGTATACGCATAAGTATAAAATTGTAAGATTGTATATCTTAAACCTAATGATATGTCTGCGATACTGGCGTTTATTGCTGATATAATAGTACACAAATAGTACACAATTATATGTATATAATTCCCACAATACACAACTTAATACACTGCTAACTATAATTCGCTTGTGGGTTCTGATCGAGGGTCTGAGAACTGGTAGGTATATAATTTTATTAATTAGTATGTATATACTTTTATTAATTAATCTTCAAATGTTTAAGACTCGCTTCAAAGATGTCAATATATATATGCATATGTAGTTGACCAATCCTGTGTACTTTTTAAACGGTTAAATACACCTTTGTGTAGTATTCCTTTGGATCTTGAACAGCGTAACGATATATTATGTTTTGTTATAATATAAGTGGATGTAAGATTGCAAGCCGATCAGAACTCACTTAGCAAGTTACGTACTTAAATATACTCGTACAATAAATATTACGTCTTTGTGCTCACAATCTACTAATTAATTGAATTTCGGGAGAATTTGACACGAAAATTGACTCTAAACTTACGAATACGTGTACGAGAGAGGTCCTTTGATCCTCCGTAACAAGCTTGGTATTACCATAAATACACATTCACTCTGAATTCATTAACCAGCCCCAGTACATGTTGAAGTTGTTTGAGTATAAATTACTGCAACATGTACCTCCCAAACGACTTTTACAATAGTTCCTCTCTCTCTACCTAATAGTTTGAAAGTATGGAAATGTTTGTGCGAAACAATTAAGTAGTGCGCTCCTGACAACTGCTACGGTCTCTATTGTACTCTGCAGGCTGGGTACTAAACCACAAATCATTTAAAGTACCATTTTTCAACTCAAAAACTATACCGGATTGGTTTCCATGGGAACGGCAACTGATTAACCTTAGCAACGTTTACGACAGTAATAATTTTAACGAATAGTTTTATTCACAATAATCACTTTTTTAACTTTATACACTCTCAATTGACATATCGGGCGCGTCACGTTTTCTTGTACAATTATTTTAGTTATCTTTTAATTTTGACTCTTGTTGCTCAGTCGTCTGCGAAATGTTATTCGTGTCGGTCGGTCGGGAGGAGCCCAGGAGACTTTTATTTCATTTTATTAACAACCCTTTCCTTTTTGAACCCTTTTCCAACTCTTATTAGATATTTTATAATACTATGCGTCCAATTCATAATGTTTTATTCAATACACGTCGGTAATATTAATGTGTTGTTAACTAACTTCTCAATCACCATTGTTATTTTCTTTTGAGGCATGTCTGTTGTCTAGTCTTTATTTATGACGTATTTGGTTGTTTTTTATTAATCTTTAATTCATCAACGACATACCCAATCTTTTTTATTTAAAGTTCTATCATTTTTGACATGTGATATTTAATCATGCCCCCTCGTCTATCGAGACCCCTTCGCTCCCCCCGGCCTGTCGACAGCGCCATGCTGTGTGCTGATGGTACGAACCTACCTCAGTAAAGTCAACGACAGAAACACATACTAACTACTGTACACTTACACAAAATATACCTCGTAAATTATATATATAATGTTATAATTAATGTATAAGTCTATATAAGCTTACTTAATCTACGTGAATCAAAAGATTCTGATATGTTTCGTTACCTTGGTTGCAACTTATCACGTTGACTAACTCTATATTATGTCTAATTGATATTATAATTGATATTTATCGAATTAATTGATATCGAAGCGAGATACGATGATACTTAGCTTAGTATTGCTGGGTTAGCATACGACATACATTTATAATTTCTAAAAATATATTTAAGATACATCGCATTTTGAGATTTAATTGATTTACGATAAGTACTATTTTGATATGTTTATGATTATGTACAGGTATCGTAACGTTCACGCGACAGTTACGATTGGTAGGCGTACATTACAGGGTGTTGTCTGAATATCATTAATACTTCAGTTCTGGCAACACACTGTATGGTCGCCAGTAAGTGCCGAGAGTTACAAATAAATATTTAGGCCCTTACGTGATGAGTGCGTGTATCATACTTGTGCTGAACTTTTAAAATATCTACCTTAGACTATAGCTATCGACTACTTAGCGATATAACAGTGGGAAAAACTTTAATAGTTAGAATTTGTATTCTTCATTAAATATGGTTCATTTCCCGAGTTTAGTACATCTATATTTATAGAAACACGCCAAACACGGAGGATCTTTACCTGAGTACTGATTTCATATACATTTTTGATCCTTATTATCTTTATAATAGGGTTGTATATCCACCAACTTGGTTAAATGTAGCGTACATATGTTGTCCTCCGCATTTGCTGCACCTCCACATTTGAATATCTTCTTATACACATGTTATATAATTGTTATAGTTTATATAATTCTCACGTCAGATATATTCTATATACTATTAAAAGGCATAACAGTTGTTTATATCAGAATATTAATCAACAAGAAAACAACGGGTTTAGCAACAGTACTTTTAGTTTCCCATCATAAGTTTACCATTCTCCTTTGATTATTTCCACGCTCCTTTGACCATACATATATATCTACACGCGTATTAAGTAACTCATTATTTTTCTGTATAAATTTTGAGTTTTCTGTGTATAACGCATCCTTACCAAAAAACTCATTCTTCTCTTCGAGATATTATTCTTCATTTAATCAGTAAAAGTAGTGTTGCCAATGGACCCGGAATATAGTCTACATTACAAGCACAGCTAGTATAGACATCTATCAGACATATAATAACGCGCCGATACAATACGGCTCAGTGATCGAAGTACTATTGTCAAGTGTCCGCTACACCTCCCTGCGATGCTACCATACAAGCTATTGTATTGTTTTGTCTTTAACTTGTAAATTAATAGAAGTTTGTATTTTAACTTGTAAATAGTTCGACTAGTAACATCACAAGAAAATGTACCGAACAGCTGACGTCTACCCAAATAGGACATTTATAATTACACAACAAGTAAATTCAAAAATATCGACAACAACACTGATTTTGGAGTGAATTTAGAAGCCTTGCCTGAAGGGGTTTTTGATAGTGGGCTGCGCCGCGGGCGCTGGAGCAGGCGCGGGCGCGGCCGCCGCGGTACCCGCGCGGAACGGGTTGCTGGCGGGAGCCTGCGGCTGCGCGGGTAGCTGCCGCTGTTGACTATACTGCTCCTGGTACTCCTGCTGGTAGCCCTGTTGCGGCTGCTGCTGCTGCTGCTCATACCCCTGGCTGTAGTTCTGATACCCTCCTTGATACGACTGGTCATAGCTGTATCCAGCGCCCGAATCTACGTTTGATTCCTCAGTCCCAGCCACTTGCCCTGACACGTTGGAGTACTCCAGATGGTTCTTATACTCCCCATTTACGGGACGCTGGTCTTGCAAGCTGTAGGTCTGATACTCCTTGTCTGGCGGGTCAGCCATGAGAATGTTGGCCTCATTCTCAAACGGTTTGAAGTCGTAGATGTGCCGGAGGTACATGAGCACTGGAGCGTACAAGAGGTTGCTGAATGCGATGAACAGATTCAAAGCGGTGAAGCCTATGGCTTCCACCACTTCTCCAGCAATTATGGGTCCTACAGCGTACGCGAAAGAATACGATATATCGGCGATGGCGTAGATGCTCCCGTACACAGATGAATATCGCACGTCGACTAAGTAACCGAGAGTAGGCAGTAACGCCGTGTCAATGAGGGCAATACCGAAGCAAATGCCACAGATAGGTATCATCAACATTTTGTACGAATTTGCGAACGGTATTATAAAGCAACACAAGCCTTCCAATGCAAGACCACCGGCTGCCATCAGCCATTGCTGCTGAGGATACTTCTTTGCCATTTTGACAGTAATGATCACACCGAGTACGTGGGGGAAGAACGCTGGTAGCCAAATCATTCCGATCTTCCAGTTGTCTTTGGTCAGATTGTCCTCCATCCATAGCGATATAGTTGGCTCAAGGAACGCCAACGCTACGTTAGACATCATCAGAGCGCCTGCGCAGACCGCTATGTAAGGATCCATCAGTAGCTTCCAGATAGGAGTACTCTCGGGTTTGGGCTCTCTAGCTTCTTTGATTTGCGTTTTTAGAGGTTTCATTACCAGGAGCAGCATGAACCCGTCCATCAATGATATCAACGCTAGAATCAAGAATGGGACCTCTTTTCCTGCGAACTGGTACAAAGCACCTCCGAATGGGGGAGCGACTAGGCAACCAAAGCTGATGAAGGCCAGGGCAATCCCAAGAGCTTTAGATCTCTCATTTTCTTCAGTAAACCTATCGGCTATCATCGCGAGTCCCGATGTATCAGCGAAGGCAGAGCCCACGCCTTGCAAACTCCTCGCAAAGAACAGCATGCTGTAGCTCCGGCCGCAGGCGAAGATCGATGTAGAGAGGAACATAATGATGAGTCCGATCATCATGGGCACGTCGTACCCGATGCGGTCGATTAAGGCACCAGAGAATGGGTTAATCATGAGTTGCACGATAGCCTTTGACGCGAACAGGACGCCTGTCGCTGAGTCCTGGCCCTCATGTGATGCTGGGATGATTTTGGTCGGTGTGATGGTCTTATTGCCTTCCTTGTAGGGCGCTAGAGTGACTACATGGTCATATCCTGCCTCGCCCCAGGCGCCAATGTACCTAAGGTAGTCGGGAATGATGGGTACGATCACCATGTACAACATGTTGTCTAGTAACAGCGCTATGGATACAATAACCAGGATGATCTTCCTCTGCGAGGTCGGCTCCTTGATCTTCTCCCACAGTATCTCCCGCACCTCCCGCACCTCCAGGTTCACCATCGGGATGACCGCGTTGTCGATCTTCTGCCATATCGATTGTGGTCCCTCCGCCATCTTGGATTATTTTTATCACGTTTATATGATTCTATCTGTTGTGGGGTCCTGTGCTCATCTTCAGAGGAGGGCTAGGGTTGCCCTCGTTGTGATATTCGCGTGTCGCTCACACATTTACGCGTCGTCCTTCGGCGGGACCTCGAGAGGGAGTTCGGAACCTGACAACAAACAGAAATGATCATTGTATTATCATTTCATGACAAAGGGGGATGCTGTAATGTTTCAAAAGGATTGTGAGTCGATCTTTGTTTCTGTTAGTTGTCGTTCCTCTGTCCCGAGTGGTCTTATAACGAGGGCTTCGAGTTCCAAAGATGATTCAGAGTCCTTTTGAACACAAACAAATTACTAATAAATTAGTAAAACATCACAAACATTCACACAAATAAATAATTCAGGAACGTTAACGTTTATAAACCGTTCGATCAAAATATTTAAATTATTTCGCTTTGTCATGGTCCATGGTCATTGTTTATTCATGGGTCAATAAATAATGTTGAAACCAAATTTTATTCACAATGGAAATAAATATACAAATAAAAGTTAGCAATGCATATGTAATAACTTCAATTAAATTGTAAACCAAATTCTCAATCTGTCATTCTACAGTATAAGTGATTGGCATTTTCCACCGGCAGTTGGTATACAGACAGTAATTGTAACAACTTGTTTAACCAAAATCCAATTTGTAGGACCCTCGCCGACGCCATTACGACCAGCTTACTACGCGTTCTCATTTTTCCCTCGCAAAAAACCTCGTTCAATAACGAGAGAAATGGTATAAGCTCGGGGAGGCCATTATCTTATGTTTTGTAACGTTTCTCGATAATATGTGATATTTATTTATGAGATATTGGTAATAAGTAGAGGGTGGTATTGTTTATTAATGGGAATTATACTAGTTTTTAGTCGTTTACGATACAGGTGTTTGATTTAAAATAATAAATAATTGAATGATAAATGAGGAAATAGTAAGTACCGTAAATATAGTTAGATATCAATCTGCTAGACTCATTAGACTGCCTCGTTGGCCTAGTGGTTGTAAGTGCGACTGCCGGGCAACAGGCCGCGGGTTCGATTACGGGGTCGGGCAAAGTATTACTGAGTTTTTAAAAATTCTCAGTACTAGCATGGAGTCTGGAATTGTGCCCGGTATATGGCAATAGGCTCACCCCCTATTACATGGGACTCATAAAATAAACCGTAAAAAGTTGGTGTTACATTGTACAATAGCATAATGTGCACCTCTGCCTACCCCCTCGGGGATAAACGGCATGATGTTATGTTATGTTATCAATCTGTTAGAAACAAATTTATTATATTTGCTCAAAATCTTTTCCAATTTCCGAAAGAAACAATTTAATAACTTACCAGTTGACTATTACGTGCCAACCAGGATAAATCCAATCCCCAATATTTGGAGGAAGTAATCATCTGAAGCCGTTCAATTCTTCCCTGCCTGCCCTCTTTTGTATACAGCCTCGTTAGAAACGCGAAGGGCGGAAAATCCCTTTCTTAAGAGTTCGCACGAAAAGAGAATTTCAATGAGAAAAGGTAAAAACGCGGAAGGAAAGAAAAAAGAGTGATTAGGTAGCACCGCTCTGTTAGGAAGTCGATTTGGGAAAGAAAAGGTTTCGAGAGAAGCCACGTCATTGTTATTAGGCTGGGAAGATGTTTCTTTTTGTCAATGTCAGGATAAAATAGATTTAACGTAGCACAGAACTGTGGTGTATTTTTGTGAAATGCGTAAAAAATTAGCCAGCTTCCAATGCCATATAATTAGAACGTGTAAAAAATGAATGTTCTGCATTCTGACATCTTTTATTTTTAAAACGTAGCAATGTACTAAGATTTGCTGCATCTCTGCCTATATCTCCAGGATATAACAAACGTGATGCCACTTTTTTATAATTTGTAAGACTGATAATAAACATGATGTAACAAACAACAAAATAATATTAAACTTCATCTAAACACAATAACAGATCGAAATAACAACATCCCTTTTTATTTGCTTATAATTTGAGTTAACGGAACCCTTCCATGTATGTACAACATTACGTAGTATATTAAAAAGCAATAAAGGAAAACAAAACATTTGATCGCCGCAGTACCTATTATAATGAAAAGTCGTAATGTTCGGCCAAGGCTGCACGCGGCAGGTCATGGCGAGGTTATGGTAAAACATATAGTTCTTAAGGGGCTTGGATGGTACAAGTTATACTTAAATCAAGCAATATATCGAGTTGGAATTGTAAAATTTTCTTATGGCGTCGTTTAGAGAAATTGGTCGAAAGATTAGGTTTAAGTCGTGATTCATTAATGAACTTTGTGAAGCCAACAACTTAGTGTTTTGAAAATTATTGATTGGACTTTGACGGTGACTTTCCAAGTGTTTTTCTTCCCTAATGGTCTTAATTGAAATTGTGATGTGTTTTTTACTATTTCAAAAACCGAAGTCATTAGTTTTATCGACACGTTTACTGTTTTTAATTAGCGTAATTAGTGTTAAAAAGAAATTGTGTATAAAAGTTTCACTCAACCACGACTGGTAAAATTAAAGTTCGCTAGAGTTTATAAGTCGCGCCTTAACTTTCAGAATATTTCAGTGTAAGTAATCATCGAACTGTTGGAGACCGGAAGTGTCGCGTGTAGCCTCCGCCTGCCTCCGCCTGCAGTGCCTTCGTGTTGTAAGCGAAGGCTTAGTGGTCATTATTACAAGTTGTGACGACCCTGAGACTATCGTAGGTAGTTCATAATATTATCAGAAGTACTTTACTATCAGAAGTTTTGCTTTTAAATTTATTTTTTATTTCTGTATATTCAGAAATCCCTGCTTCCTCATGATTGGACCTGCTTCTGGTAAATAGTTAATAATTGATAATTGAACGCAGACATTTTGCTTCCAAGGCCACAACGACACAACTACGCAAGCGTTGTTTCACGTCGATTTTCTGCTCGGCCGTGGTATCACTCCGGTTGAGCCGGCCTTTTCGTGCTGAAGCATGGCTCTCTTACACTCAAAATATACTACTTAATAAATATGCATTCCTTACTTTAAACTTTTAATATAATAGAGAGAGAGGATTGGCGTTAAATCCTAACTATGAACGCCTAGAGTCATAAAATAAGACCATACATTAATTAAAACACACTAGAAATTAGAAACCCACTCTGATAGTATCCCTCCATTAATACGCCCCGATGTATAAATAAACACAGCTTAAAGTTTACATAATCAATTAGCTTACAAGAGGCTGAACTGAACCCCACTCGATGGAAGCACTCTTCATAACGGGCAAATGAACAAACCAACTCAGACATACCTATAAACATACATCGACAATAATGAACCTTACTACATTGACATAAAAGCCCATTCCCCATAGAGTCGGTGGAGCTTGAATGAGCCGGGCAGACCGGAATGATACCACAGATCCACAGAAAACCGACATGAAAATTCCAATCCCTAAATTCCTAATCCCCAAAAGCCTGGCAACGCATATATAACTCCTCTGGCGTTGTGGGTATCCATGGGCGGCGCAAATTGCTTAACATCAGATAATCCGTCTAGGTACTCGTTTGCCACTCTATTCCATAATAAACATTCGTAATGAACCTTATTACATTGGCATAGAAGTCATCAATGTATGACCGTCTGGTCGCAGGTACCAGGCTCGCATAAACACAAAGAGATTCATACACGTTTACTTTATAACAGTGTGTAGGTGTATTCTGGAACACTACGCTAGTCAATCGATAGAGGCTAACAGGGACGGCTATTCATGGAACATCTATTCTTAGCTTGTGAACGGCTAGAATAGAAAACTTATACAATAAAAACGTTAAGTTTCTTCGAAGAAAATTCTAGAGAAACTAAGCTAAAGAAATAAGTATCTAATCGGATCGTAGTAAGTAGGTGTTGGTTTAAAGTTTCTACCTTACTCCCTGACAATAAAAGCGAGAGTTTATACATATGTTTAAACAACATTTTCTTGTGCTATTTAAAATACTGTTATGAGTGAAGACATAGTATTAATAGGACTTTCGTAACCCTTATATCGCGTCGTAGCACCGTGCGCTACGCCGTAGCCAGGTGCTACGATTGCTACAACATGTCTTCCTATTCAATTTACTTGCAATACAGAAAGAACTGAACGGTTTTCAGATTAGATTCTGAAGTCGATACTTACCTTGTTCTATCCCAAAGCATCTCAATTTGTAATAAAACAATTCTGAAGTACAACGATTAGTGAATGTAAATGCAGCGAAAGAAGTCTAAAAGACTGCCTCATTGGCCAAGTGGTCGCAAGAGCGACTGACGGGCAAGGGGTCTCGGGTCCGATTCCCAAGTAATACTGGGTTTTTTTAGAAATTTCAGTAGTAGTACGGAGTCTGGAAATGTGCCCGATATATGGCAATAGGCTCACCCCCTATTATATTGGACTCATAAATAAATAGTGAAAAGTATACATTGTACAGTGGCATTAAGTACCGTAATGTGCACCTCTGCCTAGTTCTTTTTTGCCTACCCCAATACACGGGCATGATGCTATCACTCTTGACTGAGTAAGCGTGTACATACAATGTAATATATTACTACGTTTTTACAAAACAAAAAACATACACATTTCTTTGTCATAACTTATTCATATCACAGCCCACATCTTTCTAAAAATAGCTCGAAATATTCGCAACGTGGAAACTTCTAGTGTTGGTGCGTGTAGGCGTTGTATATTGATCGATGTCGTGCACGAGCTCAGTCACTACTACAGCAGCACACTAGTAGGGCTGTCACGCGAGCACGAACTTGACGCGACGAGTTTCGTGCTCACGTGACTGTGTTTTTGTGGTTATATTGTTAAGCAATGTTCGAGAGGTAGAGGTCGTGCAGCCCTTGGTCATTAAATAATCTTAGGTTGTAAAGTATTTATTGTGTAAGTACGAGTTGAATTTGTGCTACAGTATTTTTGTCTTGAAGTACAATCACCATTTCCATTTTCATTTTTGTTTAATATTCTTTGGGGTTAATTAAATTATTTAGAAGAAAGTATCCTAATTTTAGGTAATTGTAGCTGTCAACGAGTTTAAATATCATTTGTTCAGCGATTAATCTTTAAAAGTAATAAAAAATAAAACGTATTAAAACGTACTCTTAATT